AGATGGACGATTCCGAGGGGGCTTGGCAAGGCCGAGTGGTCTCCTTTGAGGTGCCGCATCTGCCCAATGAGTGCGAGAGAGAGGGACGACAAAACAGCGTATCGACCAATCCAACATGAGCCTTGCTCCCCGTTTACGGCCGTTCTTTCCCGGACTCACGCTCGGAAAGCACTTGGGTGCTTTTCCGGCAACGGAATTCCCCAGCGCACTACCACCGCGGACCAAATCTCGAGACCGAGCCTGTATTTTTGCAAGTGTGTGTGTGCGCCAGGTGTCCCTTTGACGAGCCGCGGAATGTTGCATCTGATCAATGAGTGCGAGAGAGATGGACGATTCCGAGGGGGCTTGGCAAAGCCGAGTGGTCTCCTTTGACGTGCCGCATCTGCCCAATGAGTGCGAGAGAGAGGGACGACAAAACAGCGTATCGACCAATCCAAGATGAGCCTTGCTCCCCGTTTACGGCCGTTCTTTCCCGGGCTCACGCTCGGAATGCACTTGGGTGCTTTGGCCGGCAACGGAATTCCCCAGCGCACTACCACCGCGGACCAAATTACGAGGCCCAGCCTGTATTTTTGCGAGTGTGTGTGTGCGCCAGGTGTCCCTTTGACCAGCCGCGGAATGTTGCATCTGATCAATGAGTGCGAGAGAGATGGACGATTCCGAGGCGGCTTGGCAAAGCCGAGTGGTCTCCTTTGAGGTGCCGCATCTGCCCAATGAGTGAAAGAGAGAGAGACGACAAAACAGCGTATCGACCAATCCAAGATGAGCCTTGTTCCCCGTTTACGGCCGTTCTTTCCCGGGCTCACGCTAGGAATGCACTTGGGTGCTTTTGCCGGCAACGGAATTCCCCAGCGCACTACCACCGCGGACCAAATTACGAGGCCGAGCCTGTATTTTTGCAAGTGAGTGTGTGCGCCAGGTGTCCCTTTCACGAGCCGCGGAATGTTGCATCAGATCAATGAGTGCGAGAGAGATGGACGATTCCGAGGCGGCTTGGCAAAGCCGAGTGGTCTCCTTTGACGTGCCGCATCTTCCCAATGAGTGCGAGAGAGAGAGACGACAAAACAGCGTATCGACCAATCCAACATGAGCCTTGCTCCCCGTTTACGGCCGTTCTTTCCCGGGCTCACGCTCGGAAAGCACTTGGGTGCTTTTGCCGGCCACGGAATTCCCCAGCGCACTACCACCGAGGACCAAATTACGAGGCCCAGCCTGTATTTTTGCGACTGTGTGTGTGCGCCAGGTGTCCCTTTGACGAGCCGCGGAATGTTTCATCAGATCAATGAGTGCGAGAGAGATGGACGATTCCGAGGCTGCTTGGCAAAGCCGTGTGGTCTCCTTTGACGTGCCGCATCTGCCCGATGAGTGCGAGAGAGAGGGACGACAAAACAGCGTATCGACCAATGCAAGATGAGCCCTGCTCCCCGTTTACGGCCGTTCTTTCCCGGGCTCACGCTTGGAAAGCACTTGGGTGCTTTTGCCGGCAACGGAATTCCCCAGCGCACTACCACCGCGGACCAAATTACGAGGCCCAGCCTGTATTTTTGCGAGTGTGTGTGTGTCCCTTTGACGAGCCGCAAGTTTTCCGGTGATTTTGATACCGTTTTTTTAATTTATTTGTTCATTAAATCGGTGTCGATCTCTTCAATCGATCAATGAGTGGGAGAGAGATAGACGATAAAACGGCGGCGTTTCAAAGCCGAGTGTGCTGCTATGACGTGCCGCATCTGAGCAATGAGTGCAAGAGAGAGAAAGGACAAAACAGCGCTTGGACCAATCCAAGTTGAGCCTTAGTCCCCGTTTACGGCCGCTCTTTCCAGGGCTCATGGTCGGAAAGCATTCCGGTGTTTTTTTCGGGGCACCCGGATTCGGGATGGCCACTACTACAGTGGACCAAATTACGAAGCCCAGCCTGTATTATTGCGAGTGTGAGGGTGTGTGTGTGTGTGTCCCTTTGACGAGCCGCGGGTTGCCGCATCTGATCAATGAGTGGGAGAGAGATAGACGATAAAACAGCGGCGTTTCAAAGCCGAGTGTGCTCCTTTGACGTGCCGCATCTGAGCAATGAGTGCGAGAGAGAGAAAGGACAAAACAGCGTATGGACTAATCCAAGTTGAGCCTTTGTCCCCGATCAAGGCCGTTCTTTCCAGGGCTCATGGTTTTTTGGCTCATGGCTCATGGCCCAGGGCTTTATTTTTCGTTCGATTCATGTCAATCGAATACATACCCTTTCTTTGCATGCAGACTCTCTGTCATTTACTCTTTTTTTAACTGAACAATTCGCCTTCTGCTGCATCTGCAGCAATTGCTGTTACGAATGTGTTGTTCCTTCTGATTTCAGATTATTACATCCTCGACTCTCTGAAGGCGTTTTATTTGCACAAGTAGCGCAGTCTGTTGGAGAACGTAATAAGTAGTTGAGCGATTCATTTAATCTCACTTCTGCTTTTCTCCTACAGGGCGCTCCACTTTCGCTCATACGACGCCTTCATAGAGTCTTATATGTAATAAGCTGATACAGCACGCATAACATATTCGTAACAACAGTTGTTGTAGACGCAGCAGAAGGAGAATTATTCAGTTAAAAAAAGAGTACGATAGGAAGTCTGCATACAATGAGGGCACGTATTCGATCGATATGAATCGAAGAAAAATAATAACGTGAATCGATCGATCCTGATTCAATGGACAAATAAATAAAAAATCGTATCAAAATCAGCGGAAAACTTGCACTTGCTGTGAACATTTCAAATTCCGATATTTTGAAAATAGGAGCAGCCAAGATTTTGATTTTTCGCGATTTTAAGTCTACACGTACCATAGAGTAATCCCCTGCAAACCGTTTTTGGGTACATTTTTGTCGCTTTTTCTTTGCCTCATGACTACTGTGTACTCTTGCAATTAAGAAGTAGCCAAAAAATCACTTGGTTTGCTCCTGTGATTTTTTTAAGCTCGGCTCTCAGTACGGGAAGAGAACACACTCTAAGTAGCAAATACATTTCTGACAGAACTAATTTTTTTTTCAGGACTTAATATGAGGAAAATAACCTATGAATCGTTCAAATAAAAAATTAACGTTGAAGGTCTTCTTATTATTATGGGTAAATGTGAAATTCTGCCAGATACTTCCTCTTAGCAGACTTCCTTTAACGAGAGTTGTTGTTTTTTTTTTTTTTTGGGGGGGGGGGGGCTCAATGTAACACAAATCGCATTTCTCTTCAGCCGGGACGGATTGCTCGCGCGTGCTAAAGAGTTGTATTTAGATGGTTGATATCAAGTCGAAATTCAAACTGATACCTATTATGACAGAGATCAATAGAGGAAAGAGAAATTAACGCCGGGAATATGCAAAAACCGGGAATTATGCCGAATTGAGCTGGAATAACAAGGCAGCGCGGAAGCAGCAAGTTTTTAAGTGAAATATCAACGGAGTTGTGGCTTCTTGAAAACCGCGGTTGATGACGTCATCCGCTACAATGGTGCGTACCATAATTTTATTAATCATACTGAAAAAAGTTTCCATTGTTTTTTCCCATGCGTAGCCAAAGAGGAAAAAAATCTGTAGAATGAAAGCTTGATATTTGGAGAGGCCTAGAAAGGAGTTTTCGTACATTTTTCCAAATCAATCCAATTTTTGTTATGTTTCAATTTTTATCGTATCAGTTTGATTTTAGGTCCGTGCGTGTCTTATTCTATACCACTGTTGATTAGTCGCACTACCACAATACTTTGCATTCTAACACGCCAACATGTCGTGATACTTGAGGTACACTCAAGCTAATGCGGTTATACTGATGATAGTAATACATTTGCGGGTAAGTACGTTTTTGTAACATTCGTAATGTTCGTCAAGTCTTGGGAAGTCCAATTCCTGGGCAACATGTGTTTCGGGTTTTGCTGTCGCACGGGAAAAGATAACCAGAGGGAAGCGCCTTCAAATACGATGCAGGCAATAATCGATACCCTAGTTGATATCGCGTCGGGCTTACTCGTCAAACCAGGGGCAAGAAGAAGCTACGTTATGACTACGAGGCGAGAAATTCTTAAAACTATTAAAGTATGACAGAATTTTCTTAAACGGTCTAAGTGTAGTCGCTTTTGAAAAAGATTGAAGTATCGTCAGCTTTAACGCAATGCATGATGGATGCGGTTGCTTAGTACATATTTGAGCTACGGGGCATTTTTCATTGCTTAATGAGTTATCGCGGAATTAAAATAAATATCTACATGTATATTTCGATGCTGAAATAAATTATGAAATATTGCCTCAAATGTCCATAAAAATCTATACCTGGATCGGATAATGCGCTGTTGACACCATTGCATCGTTTTACGGGATTAATTTTTGTTAGAAAATTTCTATCTTGATCAAAATATTAGGGGATATCTATTTTTTCACACTGGATATACTAATTACTAAATTCCTCCTTCCACCCAATCGTCCATAGCTTTTATCACATAAACATTATGGGGCAACCTAAAAGGGAAATTGCGTATATTCACATCAGAACGCATGTGATTACATTTTTATCGTGGCTGTGGAAGATATATCGATTTTCTGTAAGTTTCCAATTTTGAAGATATGCTTTCTTTAATGATAATCAACAAGTGCGCTCAAGGTGCCACGGGCGCGTCAAATTGAATTTAGCGGTTAATATTCAAAGTGAGACAGGCTTAACGCGGGAACGCTTCCAATTGGTAGTCCTCATATGGTATCAACCAATTGGAAGCCTGCCTGTCTGCCAAAGAACGGCCAGGTTAAACAACTCATGGTTTATCCTTGTGGATTGCAAATAATCCTGTAGAAGATATTATATGGGCAGTTACGAACAAAAACTATCAAAAAATTATGAAATTAATAATCTTTGATCAGTTATTTATTGATTAAATCAAGTAATGCAGGCAATGATCTATTTTGAACAAAATTAATTAATGCCGTAAAAGTAACAATGTTCCATTTTGGTTTTCAAGGTTGTTTACATGTTTAACGGACTTTCGTTTAAAGTTTACAGTTTACATTAACCTCAAGCTCAACGTGATGTGATTTTTAACGAAATTTTGACAATTAACTTCTTTTACTTTATGTTAATAATTATTTTTTTAGTAGCCAACAATCATGAGTGCCAAAAAAGTATACTTTGCGAGTACAAATGCTCTTTTTCACAAGCCAGGCACTCCGTCCAGTGCATCGAAGGATAAACCAATGAGGTACGAAAGAAGCCAAAGCTCTCACTGTTTTTTAAAACTTGAGTAGACTTAATATTTAATATCAAGTGAAATCCTCTAAACTCTACCAACACACTGCCATAAGGTTCATAACAATTCCAACAACGCTCGTTGCAAATGATGGCAGATTGCTAGAACTGCACTATCATCTTTTTGGTCTGACTCTGCAGGGTTGTTGATTTTCCACTTTCTCCTCTGGTGCCGCTGAAATTCTACTAACCGCTGACTAATATAACTGTAGATTTAATCGAATGCATCAGGACTAAACTCTAATATTGGTCATGGGGTCTTTAGTATTTTGAGTTACGTAGGAATACCCCGTAGACCTGGCTAGAGGGAGTGTAACTGTTTCTGTACTGAAAGATTTATTTCACGATTTTCCATCCATCACTAAATATCATTTATCGATCACATGCTCAAAGGCACAAGTTATAAACAGAATGATCATTTCAAGACCTGTAACAGTCTTGTTTATAAACGATGCCAATAACAACACTTGAAAAAAGTCTCCCTGTTGTCTATCCTAACTGTGGATGAAGCTGGCTCCAGTGTTCCTGGGTGCTCTATGTGCAAATCCGAATGCTCTGTTGCTCTCTGTGCTGCTTCGTCATTTTGTGACATCACATGTATGGATAGGGAAGCGTTTTCCGCTAAGGTTTTACTTAGTTTGTACTCGGTCAATGCCAGTGTAAGGAAAGCCTACGCAGAACACATATAGCTTGGGATCTCTGGCTGGCTCATCATACATTAAGACAAGAGTCAAATCTTGATCAACTTTCACTATCTGACAACATTTATACATTTTTGAGTTCTGCAATTCTGACCTAATCAAAGATTAACTCTTGTTGCAACACACAAAGAACCTAACAATTGAGTTTTTTCACCTTTATGTATAATGTCAATTAATTATGTTTTTGTGTAGTGCCTCCAAACTGAAACCTTACAGTTCAGCGCAGAACTTAGCAGACTCTAAAACGTTCCTTCCACCTACAACACCTAAGTCCATCATGAAAAAGACGAACTTACGCAGATCAAAGTCTGCCATATCCATTTCTAGCCCAAGAAGAGACGTCATTTCAACGGAGACAACTCCTGTCAAAACATCACCAGTCACACATTACTGTTCGCCTCGAACTCCCAGGCGAAAATTGAATGTTGCAGGTATATAAAATTTCAACTTTCTGTTCTACTCACCCGCTTATACTTTCCCAACGAGCTGAAGTGTTCTGTTAGCTCCATTTCTGGCATTTTCAGCTTGAATCCTAGGTTGTTCAGACGATGCCGGAGATGGAACCGGCGAAATTTGTACTCCTGTGAGAAATTTATTCGAGAGAAAACGTATTTTTTCATCAAGTCTATTGTGCAGTCTTCAAGCAATGTAATTAAGTCAATCAATAATTCAGAAAACTTAAATCCTCCAAACAGGTCAGAAAACTGTCAGAGTGAGGGAATCATATGGAGAACGGATTCAAATATTTTTGTGTACTTCATTTCTCGTTCTCTCACAACTAAGTTCATGAATCGGCAACAAAATATTAGGTACATTTTTCAGGATTATTCTTAAAGTTTACGCTCTGTTATTCCTGGAAAAGTCTAAAGAGACAAAATTGCAATGAAACAAAAAAAAGAGAGCAGAAGGGCTGTGAAAGCAACTCTTATGTTTGCATGTCTGCATTTTGTAAAAATAATAATTGTTGCATCCAACCAAATAAGAGCTTGTGTATGTCTTTAAGCCTCCTGCTTTTTAAGCACCAGTATCATTGAGTTAGTGAAGAAAGTATTGTTACTTCACCAATTTTTTCATCAACTTTCTTTTTCTTCCCCCTCAGAACCTTCATCTGGCAAAAGCAGAGCGATTCCATCTACACCAGAATGTTTTAACAAGGTACATGTAGAAACACCTAGTGCAGCTAAATCCAGACTTTCAAATCAACTTTTGAATGAAGAATCCAGTCATCTTACAGTTGGAGTCCGTGTTAGGCCACTCAACTACAAGTTAGTATCATTCCAGCCAACAAGACTACATTTCTGAGTTAATACCTCATCCTGCAGATTGATACATTGCCATCTAGTCTCATGCTTTTGCATTTTTTGGGTCTAGGAAAATTTTTTTTTAGTCCTCACCCAAATTAACTCTCCTAAGTCCAAAACCATCAATTTCAGCTCATGACTTTCAACTTCACCTTTATATTTCCTTTTCACTCTGCTGGATCAAGTGTGTATATCTCAGCGGATTGTCATGAAAGTAAGTCTCCGTATCTTTTTTCTCCACAGCTAGTACAGGTACAGAAACAAATGTCTGTGCATCATTTTCAGAGCCTTTGTAAAAACTCCTTTTCTTTGAATTTGACCCTCTGGTTACAGAGAAAAAAGAATTTTCTTCCTTGCTCCACAGGTCCAGTTTGTCGCACTGCTAATAACAAGCAAATAAGACTTTCTCAGTGTGCAAAATCATAGCAAGACTGTATCATGATGCTATTAGAGTCTCAGTAGTTGACAAATAGCCTTATAGTAAGGTACAGTTTTGTAAAAATATTGCAGTCTTGATCAAGCCTAAATGAAATAAATTCAACCAAAACTTTTGACCGCCCAAGTTGCTTTGATGCAAACTGACAGCAGCATGATTATTTGCTGCAGCAGACACTCAAGCTTTGTTACAAAAGTTAAGGTAGCAAATTTTACAAGACCCGACTTACTCTCATGATCTCTTGTTTAGTAACTACCATCTGCAAGTTGAATTTCGGTTATCAGCACATTGCCAATGATGAAGATGTCAAACATGTTGTTGACTTATGGCTTCAAAAGTAGTCAATTGAGTTATCCAAACGTTATTGAGATTGAACTGGAAAGCTGCTATCAATCAAAATAGTAGAGATGCCTAACATAAGACTGTGTAGAAAAATGAGGACAATGATGTTTGCCTAAAGGACTGTTGAATTTCCTTTCATTTTTTCATTTATGGATTTTAATCTAAATTTTATTGATTCATCTAAAGTGGGGAAAAAATAATGTAAGACTTTACGAAATATGGGCGTATATTGCCTGCTCCACTGGTTAAGACCAAGACTTTCATCAAAAACCCAGTTACCAGCTCATTTTTTTTTCTTAACTTACAATTATCAATGAGCTGGACTCACCTTTTTTCTTTTAAGGCTACAAGTGTGACGCAAGTGTTTTTGCTTTACAGTAGTCAGTTGTTAGAGATTCAAACCACAACTTTCTTTTAAATGCACCCTCAAAAAGAGTCAGAGAATGAAATGGCCTCAGGTGCTGTAATCCTCATATTAAATGTCAAATTTAGCTATAGATCAAATTCCAACTTTTTGATTAAATCGGGCTGTTTGTTCTGAAAGTCCTCATTTGTTGATTGAGACAAACATTTTGTCCCGAATAGTTATTGCCCTTTTTCAAGTCAATAATGTCCATTTTGCTTTTGGGGGTGCATCTAATTTTTAGATCTCCTCATGTAGCTAATGAGCAATAATGAATGTTGACTACAATTATCTTTTTGATGGTAACCAATTTTGTTTTCTCAAATGTTGCTTTTCTAGGGAAGAGCTTGAAGCTGGAATCAATCAAATTGTTCTAACTGAAGGCAATGAAGTTCGCGTTCTATGTGAATCAAATTCATGCCACAACTTTTCATATGACCATGTATTTTCTCCGTCCGACTCACAAAACATGGTGTTCTCCACTTTTGTTCAGCCCCTCCTTGAAAATGCCTTCCGAGGTTACAATGCATGTCTTTTTGCATATGGCCAAACAGGGTCAGGGAAGAGCTACAGGTATGCACACAATCTACTCATGGTTTATTTTTATCTTTAGTACTAAAATTAAATTCAGCCAAGAATAAAGTCTGATGAAATTTTTGAAAAAATTCAAAGCACTATGCTAGAGAAAAGAGGAACTTCTCTGACCAAAGATCTGCTGTGTTTTTGCTGAGCCCAGCAGTGTCCATTTGTTTTGTGACTAAGAGTGTTGGCCACCACTTTGCTGATGGAACTTTAGCAGGATGTCATTTTTCTCAACAGGAGGTAGCTGCTGCCACCGATATGAGGAAAGTTTTGGTAGAGTCGTTGTGGAGGCTTGTCCAGAGAGTTAGAGAGCACCACAAGAAGAACTCCCATTCATGTCTTGTAATTTAATTATCACTTAAATTTCAGTTTTGATGCCCTCTTTAAAACTGAATCAATTACAAAAATCTACAAAGAAGTTTTCGGAACAGCATTAAATATTTTGCTTGTTAAAAGATTCAACTGTGTGTAGATACGTAGTAATAATCTTCTCTATGTTTGTAGTATGATGGGCATTAACTCAGATAGTAGCACAGTCAGCGATGAGGCAGGTATCATCCCTCGTTTTTGTCACGAGCTGTTCGAGAGGGTTGCATCTTTAGAGGATTCTCAAGTTCCAGGTGTTCAAGAAAAATGCACCGCTAAGATAGAGATAAGCTACTTTGAGATTTATAATGAAAAAATCCATGATTTATTGAATGATGGAGAATGCAGTGGAAAACGCGGCAATGCTCTAAAAGTTCGTGAGCACCCAGTTTTTGGGCCGTACGTGGTTGACTTGACACTCCATGAAGTCTCTTCTTTCGAAAACGTGCAGGTAACATCTTAAATTTCTACCAAGGTTATTTTAGTAGGAAACATTTAAAAGTGCTAGCAGTGTAGATCAACAAGCGGAATGTTCGTCTTCCCAGAAGGGAATTTTTTGGGGGAAACATTTGTATGCAATGACTCTGTCTCTACACAGAGATTATTCCTTAAGTTGACAAGCCTCAGCTTTTCTCAACCTGAGAAAGAGAAGGTGATTTTCTAATTGTGCTTTGAAGTTAAGTGTATAACTAAAGTTCTCATGTCAGCAAAAACTCAACTGTTGGGTGCCACATTAGTTAAGGCCCATTAGAAAAGTAACTGAATCAGTCATTCTCAAGAAGACTTAAGCACCAAAATTAAAATACAAGGAAATCACAAAAAATCGTGATCCAAAATAGTAAATAATTTAATTGATTAATCCTGTTATTACTGAATTTAAGATTTAAAACTGGTCGATTAATACAATTTTTACTGTTTTTCTTGCATTTTCATTTCTGGAGCTTAAGTTTTTTTGAGGATGACTGATTCAATGAGGGATGCTTTTTAGGATTAATTGGTCCTTTTAGCAGTACGGTGTAGCCTCCACACTTTGTGCTATCAAGCTCGAAGCGGTTGTAAAACGACGCAAGTGTTGGTTTGGGCAAGTGTCTGTGGCAGTAAGTGAACTTACTACCATCTTGTGAGTTATTACTCAGGCAACTCTGCTAAAGCCCTGGCAAGACAATGCATTTCCCAGACTACCAAAATATGTTATTTCTCACTATTTTAAGCAATCTTTTTTTTCCTACAGAGCTTAATTTCAATGGGTTCCAGCCAACGAGCCTCTGCATCCACTGCCATGAACGAAGAGAGTTCTCGCTCACACTCAATATTCAGCATAATCTTATCACAGACGCAGCTAGAGGTATGGTAACCATTACAAAACTACTTTGTTATGTTTTACATCCTCGTTTCCTCACGGGGATGTAGAGACATCTTCTGTCAAAAATTTCAAAATTTTAACTTTCTCCAAAGTTTACTGCATTTTTTTTCTCAAAAAAATTTGAAGCAAGATAGTGTAACCACTTTGTGTTTTCTTCTGGAGAACTGTCCTCCTTAAAGTTTTGAGACCTGTCTTAGTAAGCTGTTTAATTATTTTGGTTCTCCGTTTTCCTCTTTTCTCCGTTTATTTTCCAAATGTATGCCTTATTTTTCATGTAAGATTTTGATCTCATTCATACTACACTGGGCGAGTGACCAGTAAATGAATCAAAACGTTTCGTTACTTTTTGTTTCTTTACAATTTCAAGTGGAAAAATTTAGTCGGAGAAATGGGAGAAAGGGAAATTAACTGTTTTGCAATGAACAGCTATGAAATACAATACAAAGAAATATAAATTGTAATGTGACTTGTCATAACTGCTTGAGTCGTTATTTATGCCCAGAACCAGTATTAAGTTTTTCAAATTTGCATGATCTATGCGCCGTTTTTTGACTTTTTTGGAAGAAAAATTTAATGAACTGTCTCAATTTGTATTTAGTATGCTTGCAACTTGTCATTGAGATTCATCCTACCCTTCCCGAATAAAAATAAGGTAGTTTTAGCCTGCAGGTGTTTAAACTTATTTGTGAACTTTAACTTTGAAGTTTGTCAGTCCTCGCTCAGATTTTTTACTCTATTTACCTTTAAGTAATATGTTTTGTTTTATGCTCATTTAGGATAGTGGCATCGAAGGAGTACAAAACGAACTCTCTCGTTGCAGTAAAATAAGCTTGGTTGATTTGGCCGGCAGTGAAAGGGTTGCTCAATCCTGTGCCAGCCTTGATAGATTGCGTGTAAGTATATTACTTGGTCCCAGAGTCTTTCATCTCAAAGATTCTCGTATTTTTCTGGTGTAATAGTCTTTTCAGCTTTGAGATTTGAATAAGTATCTATAAACTTTTTTTGTCAGGTAATGTGTGTGGATCGAAAAGGAAATTGTGTACACTCAAAATCTCAAAATTTGATTTTTTTACTCTACCAAACAGAATTCCTACTACAGAATATTAGTCTTTTCAGACCACTGTCCCTTTTCTTTTGGAGGATCCTATATTTACTTTTCATCTTACTCGAGGGTTTAAGGATTAGGGAGTAAATATGCGAATGAGAAACCAAATCAGCACTTGCCACTGTGTAAACGTACTCTTTGAACTCTTGAACTCTGAAAGATGCAAAAGGTAACCTGATTAACTTGGTATTATGCTGCGCAGTGAGATTTAACTGAAAATCCTTTTCGAATTTTAAATGTATGATTTTGTGCATATTTCTTTACTTTTATTTCTCGTTCATATGTGGAGGTAATTTAAAATCATTGAAAAAACTTATTTGATAATGTCACCAATTATATGCCATTTTTTCAAATTTTGAGAGATCTAAATATCTATCTTGGAATTGATAAGGACTTATTTTCGGGTTCTTTTTTCTCTTTTTTTAAAATTAAAAATCGCTGGAAATAGATGTAACAGAATATCACCACATAATATTACCAAGGTTCACTGTCCTCCAAAAATCTCTAACAGTGCTCTATAAGTGATAACTAATTACTACTTCCTTTCATCCTCCATTTGATTCGTATCATATTTCTGTCCACATTTTCAGGAAGGTGTGCACATCAATAAATCGCTTCTCACTCTAGGAAAAGTGATCACAGCTCTTGCTGAAGCAGGATGTGGCAAGAAGAAAATCTTCATCCCTTATCGTGATTCTGTTCTAACATGGCTACTTAGGGTGAGTGAAAGTTGTTTTAAAATTTTCTATACCTCCAATTTTGATTTGATTCTAATTCTGTATAGTCTTATGTGATATTTCCCGCTCAACGGACTTTTTAATTTCTTGTGCATGAATTTCTCACAGTGTGTCTATCTTTACATCTGAAGTCTTGCAATGCTGAAACTCTAGCTTCAGAGCATTCAGCTTACTTATCGCAGCTGCAGAAAAAAACTTAAAGTCCAGAGCCTGCAGTGAAAATAAGAAAAAGGCAAAAGATGCCTTTTGTTGGGAACTTATCGAACTTATTGCTCATTTAATATCAGTCAGTAGTGTTGGGACGTGGATCTGGTGTCAAATGCTGGAAGCTGAATCAAAAACCACGAAGCCTCTGAATTTTTAAAATTCGTGCCATAAAGCCGAATCCTGAAGATTTCCGAAGGTTCTCGAATCCCATCGATTGTCGATATTGTCTCGCGATCTTATCGATCTCAAATTTTGACTCATTCCAGAATCTCCTAGGTGACATTAGAAGAAATGCTTGTAGAGGAGATAAAAAATTGAACACACAAACTTTTAAGTACAAAATTAATTATTTAATTATTTGCTCGCCGGTGCATACAAATTGTAGTATTTACAAATGACATTTTTGAAATTCTCTTATCTATGAATATCATAGTTCCATATTAATTCCCTAACCAAAGTTAAAATGAAAGAATCTTATAAGTATTTATGCTCAAATAAATACAACTTAATACCTAAGGTCTTTTACTGGAATTTTCTGAGGTATCGGAAAACTTTCCTTGTGCTTACATAAATTACTTCCACTAAATTTGCACAGAAATTTGTGTAAGTTCAAACAAAGTCTCCAAAATATTTCATGGTTCTAATTAAATGTTCTTGCAATGCTTCCAAGATCTTATCTGGATCTCTTAAGTTTACACTAACTGTCTTTACTGGTTAAATGTCACAGCGTTCAACCATAATACATACCATATCGTTGGAGAGGTTACGAATAATCTTTGCACAAATTCTGATATTTTGAGTGACTAAACCATTTACTTAATACAAAATTAATTTTGGCAAAAATCAGCAACTTTTGAACAATTCAAAATTATCCTGAAACTCATTCCCTGGGGTTGACAATCGATTTATCAAACATTGATTGATGATAGATACTTAGAGAAAAAAGGAAAAAACTTTAGTTAAGGTACTTTTATATTGTTCATTTATCACTGTCTAAATAAAACAAAATTGTGAAGTGAGCAAAAATCAAGGAAATTTAAGGTCATTTTATGTTTAACCAAGCAATAATACAAAAATACTGGAGCAAAGTAATGAATGACCTTATGAAATAAATTTTAAATTGGTCACATTACTCATGTAAAAATTAACGAGCATCCAATCTATTTTGAAAACATCAATTATTGTGAACTTTGATGCTGAATCAATTGCTGCAGTCATCTTCGTAATATTTAATTTTATTTTGTCCATCTTGATTATGTATTGGACTATACTTCAAGAATGAACATCATGAAGTAAAAACATTTCTAGTAGTTGATATGCTCTTAGGGAACGGAGGTGACTGAGCCATAGAATAAGTTTAAATCTTGACACTGGTAAAATACCAGCAGTAACCTCTCCAATGTTGCGCATTTTGAAAGAACAAAGGGTATTTACAGTGTATTCTATGTACTAGAGGTCATTGTCATTTCAAGGAGTGATCTCTATAGGTGAATGATGACTGAATATAAACATGTAAAACTTGTTGCTTCATTTTAGAAAGCACGTTAAATAGCAGGAATGTTATTCTGAGGTATTACAAATTTCCAAAAAAATTCACCCATAAGGCTTCCAAAAGAATATTGGTTTTAGAAATTTCTTAGGTTTAATTTACAAAAAGAAGGACTCACTAACCAGCCTCAAAAATGTTTCAGTTTGATGGTTCTCTTCGTTTTAAAGGTAACCTCTTGATGTTTGTCTCAGATCCAACCATTTTGTCTTGTTTTAACTATTGATTTTTGGTTTAAGTAACCAATGCCCACTTTCCCTCTCAATTTTTGTAATCATTTTAGGTTACGTAATTAATTCCCAATTCACTCTTCAGAATTCACCTCATACAAGAGTGATTGGATGTGATGAAGTCTAATGATAATAAAAATTCCTCAAGTTTACAGTGGATTTTCCGCTTAAATTTGTCATTATCAAAAGTAGAATACAAATAGATAATACTGTTTTATAAAATAGTCAGGTTTTCGAAAAATTTCTTAACCTAATAGTCACTTAAAACTAACGACCCAGGAGCGTAAGCTCTAAATATAATTTCTGTGAAAAAATTTCAGTGAGAATCGTAAAAAAAAGTAACTGCTTTTAACAAATTGGTTAGAATCAGATGAACTCCAGTGGTTTTGCTAGTTTTTCAACTTAAACAACTTCAAATTAATCATTAGTGGGTGATTAATTTTAAAAAAAACTCCAGATAAGTGGAAATGTTAGATAGAAGTTGCTCTTTACATTTACTTAAATGGGGATTTAGAAATACCTACCAGATAAAAAATATCAATCTGAGGCAACTTTCTCTCACTATTTCTCAAAAATGCACAGAAAGTAACCCATTTCAAAGAGTGCATTTTTGTTAGATGATGACCTGATAGTTGTTTTAAGTTTTACTAGCATTTCAAAGAGATTGTAAGAAGAGATCACAAAGTTTGAACATTGTTTTGAATCTAATCTACTTCTGTTTGACAAAAGTAGATTGATAGTAGTAGACTAAACTTTCATTTTTATTTTCTCTAACAAACTTTGAGAGATTCTATTGTAATGGAGGAGAGAATTTCATCTCGCAATTTTTTTTTCTGTTTCATGAGGCTCTTGTTAACTTTAAAGGAAAGGAAATTCCATAATAGGAAGTATTTTGAACATTACGCATAATCATGCTTACCTCTGCATTAAAATAATTTTGGCAAGTTTAAGTAAAAAATAAATAATACTTCACACAATCATCGGAAGTTAAAACCGTGTGATTTAAAACTTAAATCTATCTTAAATAAATACTGTTGAATCACTTCTTGTGGCAGGTTGTTTTGGCTCCTTGACTCGAGCATGTCTCTTCCTCATCCTCGCGGATAGATGAGTCACATTCTCGTGATTTGGTTCGCCGGTATTCCAGCAAAGAGCGCCGTTTCTTTTCACGGCAAATTTCACAGTCTTTTTCGGGGTTAGTTATCTTCTTTTGAGGTACCTGGTGATAGTACTTTTTTGCAGCATATTCTGGAAACCAAAACAAAAATTTCAAGGAATTAGGAACTTTTTCATCAATTTCTACACTGTGTTACACATGGTTTAAATTCAATTTCGAATAGTTAGGTGAGCTGCTCCCGAAGTTATCGACCATGAAGCAAAAAATTTATGACTTAATCATTCAAAATCTATACTGTCCATCATATGAGGGTTCTCATGTCTAATAGCGAATATTGAGATTGAAACGGGTATTTTTGCTAAGGTTTTGATTGGTAACTTTTGCAATTCATTCAGGTCTAGTTGCACTATTTCTTCAAAATTTAAACTATTTTTTTTTTTTATTTTTCCCAATTTCAATGAGACGAAAAAGTGGAGATCAAAGAGAGAGGAAGAGTGAAAACAAAGTCCAAAATAAAAAGGAAGGGAAAAGATCCCAAGATTTCTCATTTGTAAATCATTCGAAGTAACTCATTATGATAGGTGTGATATGAACAGTAAGACTGAGGGCATTTGCGAACGTTAAATTGTTGTGCAGCGTGCGTCGGTCTTAATTGAAGGCGCTTCTTGAAGCTTGATTTTTTTGGACGAGGGCCGAGATTAGCCAATGACAAATGAAGCTTCAAGTGTTCTGTGCCAAACTTGTAACAACAAAAAAGAGAGTATTCTTGCAATGCAGACACTGGAGACCAATTGTAAAAACAAATTAGGTGCCTTAACTTTTACCCAGCAACGTGCATATGTTGGGAATTCTACTTTTGCTCCAATGTCAAATGGTTTCATACCCTTAATTTCAATAAACTTTCTGATACGTTCTCTACCACAGCAGTTTTTATGCCTTAGCAATTGTTGTTTACTTCGTTCATTTTTCTTGCCCCCTATAAATTTGACTCAACTTCCGTGCAGTACCACTCTTCAACAATTCGCGATATTTTTCCGATCTTAGTGAACAAGCGCTAAACAAACCAGACATTTGAACATCGGTACCGGCCTCTAAAGAAAGAGTCTTTCTATTCAGCAAAGGAATTAGGGTTAAATGGAGTCGTATGGAGATAGGATTTACTGTAATTCAGGAGGATCAAAAACACATAAGCGGCTATCAAGTTTAATGGAGCCTTCAGTGGTTTTTGAATCCTCCGTGTACGTTCGCATCATCTTGCCTCCTTCGTTTTTCAATTTCGTTTGAGTGTCACGTTCTGGCGTATCTTACTAGTTTCACACGACTGCATGTACGTCTTTTTTTCAAAACTCGCAGTGTAAATAGGTATGTACGATTGGATTGCTTAACGCCTCTAAGTTGTGTCGCGGAGAAACTCGACAAACAGATCTCGAGGATCTCCCGGAGACCCAGGCCAGGGGTCCGTGCACTATCAATCGGAAACCACTCAATTTTTGTCTCATTAGTCATTACGCACTTTGAAGTGGTTTCTACTTCGCTGAGTCGAGAGTGTGTATCTTCCCACGTTTTCTCACTTCTCGGTGATAACGCAGTTTTATTATAATCGCCGTAGCGGTGGAACTCCCATTAGCTGTTTTGATTTTCTTATCGATTTTCGGGTATCTCCTCTAATTGTTTCCTTAAGGTCATCTCCCTGCCGCGCCAGTCTTAATGGGGTTCGATTGGTTGATGAAGGAGCGTCCATGACCTTGGAGGGAAAATCTAATTTGTGGCCTTCGAAATATGCATTGAACTCTTTCGATCGAAAGCATAAAGCGAGATTTTCTGTGGTAGTTTTTGTTCCAAAATCAGAGTTGCCGGCGGTCTGAAAAACCGGAAAAGTCAGGGAATTCGCGAGAAAAGTCAGGGAATTTCTGACATATCTACCAATCACGAAAAAATATCCCTAATCTTCCAACTGCTCACCCTTTCTAGTCTTTCTTTTAACCAACTTTTAAATGCCTTTCTCCATGATTTGATCTCTAAATAAGAAAATTTTGTCCGAAGTTTAGCAAAAGAAGGTGGACATTTTTTTCGAAGGACAGGGAAAGCCGGAAACATTGGAAAAATAAAAATTTTGGAGTCAGAGAAAAACAAATACAGTCAGAGGAAGTTAGGGAATTTTAAGATGAAGAAATTATGGCAACCCTCTAAATGTTCGTGAAACTTTTGTGTCAATAACTGAATTTCGAGTCTTCGTGAACCAAGGTCTTTTTTACCGTGGACGGTCCCAACGTAGTTCCATTCCAAAGTTGCAAAATTGACACTAACAATTCAATTTTTTACAAGGATGTGCCTGTGCAATTTTTGTCGAAATTTTTCCTGATTTTGCATGAAATCAGAAGATAAATCAGTGAAATTTCCAGCTAGCAAAGCCCGAGATTCTCCGAGAAAAAAAATTTCCAAGGTGAAATTTGGCAACATTGAAATGGACTGCATTTTGCAATTTGGAACTATAAATTCTAGCCGGTTTAAAAACAACGTATGTGCCATTAGTTTCCCTATGCACATAAGTGTTTTTCCAGAAGAGCCAGAATTTATAGTTCCAAATTGCAAAATGCAGTCCGAATGTAGTTACGTTCCTTCGTAAGGGAAAAGACAAAATGAGTCAAATAGTACTCATCACGTAGCGTGATGGCATAAATAAAGGTGTATTTTGCACTTGGTAAGCCGGATCGAGTCACAAATAGAACCTTGGTCTCGGTCAAGTGCTAAATATTTATCCGCGGGTTGTTTCTTGTTTATCCGTTTATTTACGTCCCGCCGCGGACGCCAAAAGACGGTTCTTTGCCAATAATTCTGGTCTGCGAGGTGTCGCGTTTACCGTCGCGTCACCACTTTTGTTTTTCGCCGAGGTTCTTCAACTCGAGTGCATCCGAATTGCGTTGCGTTTCGAGATGACTCTCGTCCAAGTAGGTCACTCAAAAGTCTTTCATGTTGATCAAGGAAAATTGACCTCTCGTATTAGATGGGTAGCCGTAGCGATGTACTCACGAGACTGGAAATCGAGCACTGGAAAAAAACACATTGGATCTTGAGTCCAGACTCTTGAAAACATTGACAAGAAAAATGACTCTTGAATCAATCAGATTTAAGCTTAAATCAAAAGGAAATCCGCTCAGATTAAGAGGCTTGGCTCTTGATTTAAGCTTAAATCTGATTGAATCAAGTGTATTTTTTCTTGTCGATGTTTTAAGAGTCTGGACTCTAGATCCAATGTGTTTTTTTTTTTTTTTTTTTTTTTTTTTTTTTTTTTTTTTTTTTTTTTTTTTTTTCCAGTGAGAGGCAGCGGAGTTAAATATAACGAAAATGTGGAAATTTCACGGGCAAATAGTCAAATCAAGTATTTTATCAAATACCTAGGCAGACAGTCAAATTTTTAGAGTTGAAAAGATGTCTCGTCTTTTCACAAAAACCTCTCGAATTTCCAATATTTTAAAAGTAAAAATCCATGAAAGTACAGACTTCATTGTTTCCCGCTCCAAAAATGATTCTCATATTTCTTCAACCGTCCAAATTATGAAAACTGTGTACTTTACAAAATGCTGTCTATTTTGAGACAAATGTGCATTTTAAGGACCAGAAAAAACTGATTCATCATTGTATGAAGCAAATTTTTACGGCGAATTCCCTCCCACATGATCAGAGATTTATTTTGTCCACAGTTAGCGAAATAATCAGAAGTTCCCTATAATTTAGAATATTTGACTATTTGCCTATGCATTTAACCAAACGCCTGATTTGACTCTTTGCCTGCATAAAAAATAACGCGGTTACGCACAGTGCTATTTCGCCTTCAATTTTTGAGGTAGGCCACTATACATTCTCCAAGTAGCGATGCGGTGCGGTGGCTGAAGTCGTAGTCGAAAAATGCGCTAATTCGATCGTGATGTTGTGGATCTCCGTTCACATTAGTACCAACAAGTTGTCTTGAACTTTCTCGTAGTTTCGTTCCCTATCGTATAGGGAAAGGACGCCATTATGTGTGGGAAAGTCTTTTTAACTCTGACAACGAGGAAAAACCACACCGACATGACAAACTTTCCGATTCTACGATATTTTATGATGCACTCGGTCTGTTGGTTAGAATCTTAATTATCATGATTGTGCTTTTACTTCAATTTTTCGAAAATAGAAGAAATTTAGGTACGAGCGACTCGAAAATATAAAGCCTGGCTTTCAAACTCTAAGTAAGAATACTTGGACCGCGTTAAGCAGAAAGGAACTAGCCACATCAGCTATTCTCGAATTTTGCTGGGCATTTTAATTTTTTACATGAAAACGGTTGTACAAATTTTTGTCCAAATTTCAGTGCATTTTCTGTATAGTTCGATGCAAATTCCCAAAAATTTTCATAGGGATCCGCACAAACGCTCTCTTGTAAAAAATTAAATTGTCCAATTAAATGACAATGCCTGTTGTGGCTTGATTCCTTTCCGCTTTACTCGGTCCTTTTCTGAGGTCTAACTCAAAATATGTATAGTGCATTCTTGAACGTTCCTTAATGGGTTATCGGTGGAGACTTGAAACGGAGCCAAAACATTGCGTCGATTTGACGTAAGGAGCTTTTAAATCGACCCTTCAACAGCTTTATCAGCAAAGACATTGTCCTGTTTTCGCACTGTATCAGAATAATTATCACAAAAGCGATCGCACTTTTTAAGCTGTCAACCTCCCTTACGAGGAAAGTTTGCGTAAGTGTTTCCGAAGTTGTTTTTGTTTTAATTTGGATTCAGTGCTGTTATTAAAAGTTGTTTTGCCGATTTGCCGGCATTGTTTACGCGCAGAAACTGCGTATCATGTGGCTCCTCGGCCTGTGTTTATTACACTGATGTCGCAGCTAAGGTTGTTGATTTATATTCACTACACCGCTTGAACATTATTAAATACCTCTGTTGTCACGTTGGGTGATAAACAATCAATAGATCACTATTAAGGATACATGTTGCTCTGATCCATTTGTCAAAAGTGACAATCCTAAATGAACCGTACCTGTATTCACATACTTGGTCTGCAAATGGTTTGATCGCCTAAGTATATTCTTTAATTAATGGTTATCTTGTAGATAACAGGTCGCATTCGTTCAGAAATTTAA